TATTGCTGCCTATTCCATCTTAAAAAAACAAAACCAAACCCAACCCAACAACAAGTCTCCCATCCCTTCCTCCTTTCCACCTTAATCCCACCCGCCCCCACGTCCCTACCCCCAACCCCCCAGTCTCCAAAAATCCGATTGTGTTTTCTCCAAGGATTGGGACTGGATTTTCTGATTGCGGTTATTTCCATGTTTCTAGGTTTGTGTGATTTTGCTAAAATGCATCACCAACAGCGAATGGCTGCCTTAGGGACGGACAAAGAGCTGAGTGATTTACTGGATTTCAGTGCGGTAAGAAAGAACGGTGGAAACTAACAACAGCTGTGAAAAAAACAAAACAAAAACCCAAACACTTCAGCTAGAAACCAGTAGGAATCCAAAGGACAGTAATAATTTTTAATTGGCTGAATCCTTGGTAAATATGAAGGTCTTTTTGACAAGTTTTTAACTATAATTTTGGGGTGTGATGGAAGATTCAGGCTTTTTGTTTTTTTGAGTTTTATTACTGGCCTTCAATTCCCGACCCACTGATTACCCCAAATAATGGAATCTCACCCCAGTGGAAAGCAAAAATAGACACCCCTAAAACTGTAAACCACCCCTAAAAGTTGGCCATGTCTGAGCATTGAGACTACTTATACTTTGCACACTATTCTTCCTTTTATTTATTGTTTTTGGAAATGGCAAATAGAAAATAGGAGACCCAGTTGTCTCTTTAAAGTTTTAAGCTGATGATGCTTTGGATTAGTAGGACCTGTTAGTTACATCTTACCTCCTAGTTACATCTTTTCCTAGAATTCTTAAAACTAGTGTGGATATGCTGAGCATACATTCTTTAGAACCTTTTGGACTGTTTTGGTAAATTTCGTAGTCGTGGCATCAGCACAAAGCGGAACTTAACACACTTGTGGAGTTTTACGGCTGTACTTGGTCCTTCTCCATCCCTCTGCTTCCCTTTCCTAAACCAAGTCCCAGACATGTCAGGAGAATGAATTCATTTTTAATGCCAGATGAGTTTGGTGTAAGATGCATTTGTAAAGCAAAATAAAAAGAATCCACAAAACACACAAATAAAATCCAAACCGCCTTCCAAGTGGGGCTCTTTCCTGCTGCTGCTGCTGCTGCTGCTGCTGCTGCTGCTGCTGCTCCTCCTCCTCCTCCTTCTCCTCCTCCTCCTCTTCTAGACCTTCTTTTGGAGAAATGGCTTTCGGAAGTTTTGCCAGGAAACGTAGCCCTAGGCAGGCAGCTTTGCAGCCCCCTTTCTGCTTGTTGCACTTTCTCCATTCGTTCCTTTGCTTTTTGCAGGCTGTGACTCAGGGAAGGTGTGCATTATCCACTAGATACGTCGAAGAAGAGGGAAACCAATTAGGGTCGAAATAAATGCTGGAGAGAGAGGGAGTGAAAGATTGAGTGAGAGTGAGAGAGAGAGAGAGAGTCTTGCTTCCAATTGCTCTCCTGTTAGAGACGAAATGAGAATTTAGTGCAGGTGGCACTTTTATTTTTATTTGGGTTCACGTATGACAGGCAAATCCTATACGAGATGGAAATGGACATTGCCACGTTTATGGCCAAGGTTTCCAATATAAAACAAACAACTTTTTTCTTCTCCTTGGTGAAACTAGTGTTTTTCTAGAGAGGCTGCTGGCCTCCAACCTGAATCTTGATAGCATTATGGGGACTCTGTTTGTTCCAAATGTAGTAGTTCTGCTTGGCCATCTGATGAACCTGAGGAAAAAGAAAGAACAGAGTGATAATGGGGGCTGGGGGTGGGATTTGGAATGTTGTTTCTCTTTTAGTTTTAAGTTGGATGGTGATGTATTTTACTAAATAAACCCTTAGCATAAACTATAAGCTGTTTGGTAACAGTATGAAAGATCTTTGAGGAGCTCTGAAGGCACAAATGTCTTATTTTCAACTGTAATATTTCTTTGTTTCTTTTAGATGTTTTCACCTCCTGTAAGCAGTGGGAAAAATGGACCAACTTCTTTGGCAAGTGGACATTTTACTGGCTCAAGTATGTAAATTCTTTTCTTAGTGTGAAGTTAAATGTTTTTGGCTGTTTATTTACTCAATTATATGTTTTTGGCTCTGTTGAAGTGTTCTGAAAAAGTCATTGAATTTTAGCCTATAATCATATGGTTATTGCATTACCCATCAGTGGCATATCTTACACAAAATGTTATCTTGTGCAATTAAAATTAGGTCTTTTTTTTTAAGTCAAGGAAACTCTTTCAAAATTCCATCACTTAATTTAAAAGCAATTTTCTAATACAGTTGTAATCAAACACATAAAGATAAGACCAGTGTTAACATGGGGAATAAATTAATGTTTCCTATTTGAAAATAAGCGGAAAAAATCTCTAACATTCATAAAATGGGAAAATCCCTTGTAAATAATATCATTTATTAGGTACTGTATACAATTAACCCTTTTAAAGAAATGAACACTTAATTCTGCAAATGAATGCTATGTAGTAAACCATAGCTGTAAATAGCCTCTTGCTAATCTTAGAGGCTAAATATGAATTCCTTTATATTTAAGATGCCCTTATTGATGCTTTAGCTGTTTCTTTTCCCTAATGATTTACTTGTGCAATGAATTTTTACTGTATTTAAAGTTGCAAATCTGGAAGGACTTTTACGTTTTATAAATGAAAGATCTTTGGGTGATGCTTAAAAAAGACGCTAGCACTATTCACAAAGGAATCTGTGTGCACAGTGATTATCTGGCATCTAAGGAGGGGTTTATTACAGGGCTATTTGAATATCTCTTATTAAAAGTGCAGAGTGAAAATATACATTTAAAATGTATTTTTTTAATCCAATGAATTTCAAATAAGAAAAAGTTATACATCGTTGCCTGCTGTCCTTTAAGTCCGAGGCTTAAATCCATTTATGCTTGTTAAACAGCTGTAGTATTTTAGGAGTTTTGGCAATGGTATGTAACAGTACATTAGGCCGAGTACTGTTCTTAAGTCAGACTGGTAAATGTTGACGTCTTTTAGCTGTGAGATGCCAGTGGAATTGTCTGTCAACTATGAATATAATTTAACATCTCTTAATATTCGTTTGGTGCTATAGCAACGAAAGAAGTTTGGTCACTTATGTGATTTGTGTAATTGTTATATTTTTATAAAACTAATGGCTTTTAAAAGTTGTTCATTTCCAAATAAGTTCCTTCCCCTTCTGTTGCCCACCTAAGTTGAGGGAATTTGTGTCTCTGTAACTTGTTTTAAAAAATGTGAGATGACTGTTGTATTTTTATTTTAGTTTTTTGATTAAAAGGACCATTGACAGACAATATGTTTGTGTTTTACTATCCTGGACCTTGTTATGTTTTCCACTTAGGGACTTGGGACAGTTTTTATATTAGTGTTATATCTTTAAATTTCTGTGTGGTATCCTCTATGCAACTTTTAAGATGGAAAATATGAATATGCATGTTTGACGTAAAGGTAAGGACAAGTATCTTTTGTGGACAAATTAATTTTTCATGTTAGACAAGATCAAAACTGTAACTATCTTTGACAGTATTTTTTTATGTCTTAACTTAAAAACGTGTATTCAGTTTAAATCTAAAAGTAGCTTATGTCAGGCACAGAGATAGGCTACTTTTAAAGTCAGTGCTAAAAAACTAGTTTGCAGTGTTGTGAAAACACGCATTTATAAGAAGTATGTTACTTTAGATATCATTTAATAAAGTAAGGTGTTTAGAAATATGAGATTGTGTTACATTTAAAAAGACAACTGTATGTCTGATCCATTTTCTATGTTCACATTTAAATAAAGTTCTTGTTGTGATGTTTAAATGTTTATAGAGAGTACAGGCTCCATAAGTTGAATATGTATTAATGCATTTTGGTAAGTGATCATGTATCAACACTTATACAGTTCTTAAGACAGTCACACACACACACACACACACACACACACACACGTAAGTGATCATGTATCAACACTTATACAGTTCTTAAGACAGTCACACACACACACACACACACACACACACACACACACACACACACACACACACACACACACAGGTTCATGCATGCAAACCTGGAGAGAGACTTCACTCTTAGTAAGTTATGTTACACTTCTTCTAATGCATACACAGTGATTATTTTGAAGGTGCGGAACTTGAAGTTACATTGTACCAGAAGTAGTGTTTTCAGTACCAAATGTTTACTTGTAAGGGTAAAAAATGTAGTGGTCTTTTATTCTGGCTGTCTGATTGAGAATGCAGGGTATTAATTTCATGTAGTATGATGGTGATTATAATATATAAGGTACAGATTGGAGTGTGCAGTTTTCTTCTATCAAGATATATTTGAACACAGGGCTATTAGTTAAGAAAACAGGTTGTATTCCCACTTAAAAGAGTTAAATCTTTTTTAAAAGCGTAACACATTTTAAAAATCATGAAAACTGCATTTTGCCCTTTAATTGGTAGGATCAACTAGGAAACTTTGGAGAGAGAAATAATTTTCTGAATTTACTTCAAGTTAATATCCATTGTCTTGAGTGGACTCAGATGTCCCTTTCATGGGTTGCTTTGAAACCTGGATTTAGGAAAAAAAAAAGACCTCAAGTATAAGTAAACTGTTCCTATTTGAAAAATCAGCTATAGTTTTTCAAAGTGAGACATGGCAATGATTCATGCTTAGAGTTCCCAATAGCTTTTGATTCCATTAATACAGGATGCTCCATAGTGATTTGCAGTGTGAGAATAAAAATAAAGTGTGGCCATATTCCCTTTAATCTTTCATTTCACAAACATGGTTTTTCCTACCACCTTAAGAAATGGTGAGGCTGCTAGGGAGAATGGAATGTAACCTGAGCTACAGCCTGACATTCCCAGGGAGCATTTTTCACATGAAAGGCTTTTGTCAACCCAGGAAAGGACTAGCAGTTTTTGTTTGATGTTTGCAGGTGTTCAGCAGAAAGCACTAAAACAATTCAGCCATGATGGTTCAGAGCTTCGATGACCTTAACAGGGAAAATTGGTGGGCTCTGGAATTATTTTTAAGAAATAGTTGTAACCTATATGGTAACTTAAACAAAGGGATTTAATATCCGTTATATCATTGATCTTAAAACAAACTAAAAGCATCCACATGCCTGGATGATTGGAAAGTTATTCTCATTGAAAAAAAGTAGGATGCCTAAGTTACCAAAAAAAGAAAATCATATAAACAGTCTATAAGTTATTGATGAGTATGGGCTTAATTTTCTGATCTAGCAGAAGGGCAGTTTATTTGGTTACCTTTGACTCCTGTGAGGAAAAGAGAAACATACTAGCTTTGGCATCTTTTGAAAAAGTCATTTTAAAGTTGGGCCACTAAAATGATGTATTCTAAAGAACTGGTTAGATCAGGCCTGGTCACATCTGTTACATGTATTTACTGCAGGTCTATGACAGATACTACATCTTTCTCCCTTGGTTTAAAAGTTGAGCTTTTTCCCCTGTAATTGTTTAGTTTTACTGAAGTGTTCAGGTATTGTGACAAGATTGTCAAATGAACGAGTGTTTGAACCAGAGCAGCATTATAAAACACACCACATCTCTGTAGTGGGTCATTTTTGGAAGAGGAAAGTATTGCCTGAAATTTACGTAAGTTAGCTAACCTATATCCACATGACACAAAAATGATATGCCAATTTAGTGAATTCATTGAGGCGGAAAAAAATCAATCCGGTGGGTAGTTTTGTATGATACAGAAAATTCACATGGTCACATCCTGAATTAATTTTGAGTTCATAGTGATGGCATGAAAAAAAAATTGGTTTCCCCTTAAAGGTATTTGTTGAGAGCTGCTTAATATTGTGTGTGTGTATATAAGTGAGTGAACACACCCTTAAGATCATAAATGGTATAATTCATAAGGGAGCTGTGGCTTTTTGTAAAGGGCAGAGTAATTTAACAGGTTAAAAGAAGTACAGTGGCTTTAAACCCATTATGTTAGAATCATAGAATTTTGGGCATAGAAACCCGTTAGAAATGTTGCCCAGTGCCTTCATTATTACAGGCAAAGAAAACTTGAGGCCCAAGATAAGGAGTTCCAAACTGTGCTTTTTTATTTGTGATTTTAAAAAACAAGTTATTATTTGCTGATTCTCTATGGCCCTGCAAATCCTTTATTGGAAATAATCGTGGTCTCACTGCTGTCTTTCTGTCATTTGTACTACATAATGGGGCATGAGGATTAGTGTGCTGATATTTGTGCATATAAATACTTCTGTATGTGCATGTGCTTTCTGAAAACTTTTTTAGGTTTGGAGCTGAATTTTGGATTATTGATCATTCTCTTTTGCCTGGTCTTCCCTGTGACTGTTTTGCATGATGTTGTGTAAAATGATAGTGTGGGTGGGCATGTCATAGTGCTTCTCAGTGTGTTGGAGAGGTGTGCTGTGTACCTTATACCTGTTGTATTTTTTAAATCCTCACAAGAACCTAGTGAGATCCAGGATTACTACTATTCTGTATTCATAGCTGAGGAAACTGAGAGAGATGTTAAACAAATTGATCTTAAGGTAGCCAATAATGAAATTAGGTTTTAACCTCAGGTTTGTCTAGCTCAAAGTCCTGAGTTCTACACACAGACACACACACAAACACACACACACACACACACACACACACGTCAGACAGCTCATTTTTTCAAGATTATATAGGCAAACAATGTGATATTGAGGTTTGGCACGAAATATTATCCATGATCTGTAGGGTAGATAGCATTTTAAAAAACATACCTAATGTAATGATGTAAACCATACCCATTATTTTTCTTGCCTTTGTATCCAAATAAGCTACCCTTCTAATTTATGACAGATTTCAATGTGACTAAATATGTCTTTCTCCTATCTTTATTAGTTTTACCAAGAAAATACAGTAGATATTTAAAAAGTTATGCTTTCATTCTGTTGTAAGTTGATAGTCTACGTGGATGCCAGTGAAAACATGTTTTTATGTAGCTAATCAATTTAGAATTTGAGGTAACCAAGCCTGATGTA